GACGACTTTTGTGTTTTGAAATTTTAAAAAGATATAAATTGCACATATTACTTGGTAACTTGCTTTTTCCCACTTAATATTAGTTCTGACAATTTACTAGAGTTGCTATTTAGGTAATTAGTTAATTTCCACAAAGTTTTCCAGCAACCTAACTCCACTGAGCAACATAAATTATGAATTAGCTAATAACTTTTGCAAGCTACTTTTAAAAAAGGTATTTATTCTAATTTGTTGTATATGACAGCAGAATGTATTATAATTCATATTATACATATAAAGCACAATTTTTCATATCTTTGGTTATATACAGAGTATATTCACACCATTTGTGTCTTCATACATGTATAGGGTAATAATGTCCATCTCATTCCATCCTCATTTCTACTTCCATGCTCCCTCCCTTCCTCTCCCACCTATTTGCCCTAACTAGAGTTCTTCTAATCTTCCTATGCTCCCCCTCCCAACCCCACTACGAATCAATCTCCTTATATCAGAGAAAACATTAGGCTTTTGGGTTTTGGGGGTTGGCTATCTTCACTCATCATTATGTATAAAACATCCAAAGGGAAAAATAATATCTTTATATTCTACAAACTATTTTAAATTAGAAAGAGAGCTAAAACTAAGAGCATTATTTTCTGAGGTTATTATCATTTTGGTACTGAAACTGACTACAGATAACAGAAAAAATAATAATGTATCAAACATACATGCAAAAATCTAAATAAAACAAAATAAAATCAGTAATGCATTTAAAAAGTACAACCTAACAATGTGAGGATGATTCAACTTCTGAAAAGTTGACAATATAATCTGCCATATTCACAGATTAAAGGATGAAAATAACTTCTGCTTTCACTACAGTGGACTCATTCCCTCTAATTTCAAACCATTGAGATTTCTTCAAGTTTTTGAGCCCAGTGATATTTACATTTAATCTACATCTACTCCCATACATATATAGTTTAATAAACTAGAAATAAAAATAAATGTTATTAATGTGAAAATGTAAGTATCTAAATATTAAAAGTTATACTTAATAGCAAAGTACAAATACCCTTATCATAAATGTCAGAGACAGCATGATAAACCCGTAAACAGTAATATCTCCTTCAATTGAATAATATCTATATAGCAATGATAATTTTCAATAGAACAACACAGTTAATAACAGATTAAAAAACATTGATATTATTGATGAAAATTGAAAATACCTAGGGGGGAAATAAAAACAAAAAATGTGTAGAACTGTTATGGAGAAAAATCACACAAATTTCTTGATGGACTTAAAATAACATGATTACAATTTATGCCCTTGCTAGAATAAATAACAGATAGATTAAAGAATTAAAGTTTTAAAAAACTACTAGAATAATACAAAAGAACACATGTGACTTTGTCTATGACTCTGTGATAAAGGAAGATTTCTAAAATATAATAACCCTGAAGGAATTTTGTAAAAATTACATATAATTGAAAATATAAAATTTAATATAGTAAAAAACACTTTTGGGTTAAGAGAAGGTAGGATAAAAATAACATATTATTGAAAAGAGCTAATATTTTTAAAGCATAAACAGCTCTTAGAAATAAAAATAAGCTAAAAAAAAATCAAAGTTCATAAACAGGCAATTCACAATAATAGAAACACAAAGCTAATTAAAACTATTAGTAAAAGACATGCAATTTATGGCATATACATAAATGATCAAAAATTTTGCCTATCAGGTTTATATACATTAAAAAAAATAAAATATTTAACTGGGCATAGTGGAAATGTCTATAATCCCTCTGACTAAGGAAGTTGAAGCAGGAGGATTACAAATTCAAGGCCAGCTTCAGCAATGTAGTGAGGCCCAAAGCAATTTACGGAGACCCTGATCAAAATAAAAAGAAAAAAGGGCTGGGTATGTGACTCAGTGGTTAAGCACCCCTGAGTTCAATCCTGGGTACCAAATACAAAAAAAAAAAATTTAATATTAGAAAGGGAATGGGTCACGTATCAATCACAAATTCAATTGTCAAAATATAAATTTTCTTAAGTTACTACTTTAGTAATTTATAATGAAGCGTAAGATGAAAACTTATTTGAAATTTTAAAAATAACATGAAATGAGGTGTGTGGTTGTGAGAGACAAAGTCTTTTTATTGCTTTAACATTATGTAATCTCAGAACTTTTGTTTTGTTTTGTACCAGGGATTGAACCCAGGGGCATTTAACAACAGAGCCACATCCCCAGCCCTTTTTATGTTTTATTTTCAGACAAGGTCTCCCTAAGTTGCTTAGGG